CCTCTGTAAACTTATCAAGATCAGTCTTGAAGCAAGTTAAATTTTTTTTCCCCCACTGCGTCCCTTGGATGGCTGTTTCAGAACTTCTCTCCTTTGATGGTTAGAAATCTTCACCTAATTTCAAACAAACTTGTTGATGGCCAGTTTATATCCATTTGTTCTTGTGTTAACATTGGTGCTTAACTTAAATAACTCCTCTCCCTCCCTGGTACTTATCCCTCTGATGTATTTATAGAGAGCAATCCTATCTCCCCTCAGCCTTCATTTGATTGGGCTAAACAAGCCAAGCTCTTTGAGTCTCTTCTCATAAGACAGGCTTTCCGTTCCTCTGGTCATCTAGTAGCCCTTCTTTGCCCTTGTTCCAGTTTGAATTCATCTTTCTTAAACACGGGAGACCGGAATTACACACAGCATTCCAGATCAGGTCTCACCAGTGCCTTGTATAATGGTACTAACACTTCTCTATCTCTACTGGTAATACCTCACCTGATGCATCCTAAGATTGCATTAGCCTTTTTTCATAGCCGCATCACATTGGCGGTTCATAATCATCCTGGGATCAACCAATACACACAGGTCTTTCTCCTGCTCTGTAGCTTCCAACTGATAAATCCCCAGGTTATGGTTAAAAAAAAATGTTCTTAGTCCCTAAATGCATGACCTTGCACTTTATACTATTCAATTTCATCCCATTTCCATTACTCCAGTTTACAAGGTCATCCAGATCTTCTTATATGATATTCTGGTCCTCCTCCATATTGGCAATACCTCCCAACTTTGTGTCAGCTACAAATGTTATTAGCACACTCCCACTTTTTGTGCCAAGGTCAGTAATAAAAATGTTAATTAAGGTTGGTCCCAAGACCAATCCCTGAGGAACTCCACTAGTAACCTCTCTCCAGCCTGACACTTCACATTTCAGTATGATCCTTTGTAGTCTCCTCTTTAACCAGTTTCTTATCCATCTTTCAATCCTCTTATTAATCTCCATCTTCTCCAGTTTAACTAATAATTTCCCATGTGGAACTCTATCAACCGGCTTACTGAAATCCAGGTAAATTAGATCTACTTTGTTTCCTTTGTCTAAAAAATCAGTTAAGAAAGATATCAAGTTGATCTGTAAAACTATGTTGTATTTTATCCCAATTACCGTTTACCTCTATGTCTTTAACTACTTTCTCTTTCAAATTTTTTTCCAAGATCTTGCATACAATTGAGGTCAAACTAACAGGCCTGTCGTTTCTTGGCAATTCTCCAGTCACAGGGTAGGACCTCTGAATTTATGGATTCATTAAAAATCCTTGCTATTGGGCTTGCAATTTGCCAGTTCCTTTATTCTTGGATAGAGATTATCTGGACCCCTCAGTTTGGTCCCATTAAGATGTTGAGTTTGACTTCCATCTTGGTTGTGGTAATTTCTACTTCCAGATCCTCATTTCCATTAGCCACCCTTTCACTACCACTAAACTCTTCATTAGCCTTATTAAAAACGGAGGCAAATTATTCATGTAGGTGTTGGGCAATGCCTAGATTATCTTTAATCTCCCCCATCCTCAGTGGTCCCACTTCTTCTTTTTTCCTTGTTTTCTTTTTATTTATATGGCTATAGAACATTTTACTATGGGCTTTAATTTCCTTTGCAATGTCCAACTCTGCTTGAATTTTGGCAGTTCACTCCCCCCCCCCCTACATTTTCTTCCCTTCAAGAAGTAGCTTTCCTTCCTGATCCATCCCATCTTCTATTCCTTATGGTCTTCCTGCTTTTACTTAATAACCCCTTTGAGATGCTTGCTCATCCAGTTTGGTCTGCAACTCTTCCCTACAATCCCCCCCACCCTTGCTTGGGATGCAGGCTTCAGGTAGTTTCTGCAACTTTGATTTAAAGTATTTCCAAGCCTCCTCCACATTCAGATCCTTGAGTTCTTCAGTCCAGTGCGCTTCCCTAACTAATTCTCTTACTTTTTTTAAGTCTCCCCTTTTGAAATCAAGGACCCTTACAAAGGATGAATATAGGCAAACAACACAGGAATGCAGGGGCAAGATTAGAAAGGCAAAGGCAAAAAATGAGCTCAAACTAGCTACAGGAATAAAGGGAAACGAAGACCTTTTTATCAGTACATTAGAAGAGGAAGACCAAAGACAGGGTAGGCCCACTGCTTAGTTAAGAGGGAGAAACAGTAACAGGAAACTTGGAAAT